AGTACTCACTATACGTGTACTCTGTCAGTGAAGTACTCACTATACGTATACTCTGTCAGTGAAGTACTCACTATACGTATACTCTGTCAGTGAAGTACTAACTATACGTATACTCTGTCAGTGAAGTACTCACTATACGTATACTCTGTCAGTGAAGTACTAACTATACGTATACTCTGTCAGTGAAGTACTAACTATACGTGTACTCTGTCAGTGAAGTACTAACTATACGTGTACTCTATGTATACTCTGTCAGTGAAGTACTAACTATACGTATACTCTGTCAGTGAAGTACTAACTATACGTGTACTCTACGTATACTCTGTCTTCTTCTTGTGGCTGTTCCCTCTTCAGGGGTCTCCACGCCAGGGGCGATTCTAGAATCTGCCCTTTAGGGGTGCTTAGCCCCCAGTGCAGATAATGGCTCTTGGTGGTGGCCATTTGCGTCAGAAGCTTTGATAATGTGGGGAGGGGGCACACTGGTGGGGGGGTCCGGGGGTCCTTTTTAATAAAGCAGATGCCATTTCCTGCATCCTGGTGTATTTTAATGGGTTGTTAAACATCTACGTTTACCTACATAAGTAAACACTTGCTCTTTTAGAGAGCTCGGCACAACAAGAAGTAGCACTAAGCTAGCAGCGTGCAGTACAGACGTGCTAGCTAAGATGCTATACGTAACATTGTATCTTAATGTAAAGCTCTGCTTTATGTTACACAACCCAGTAAAAGCTTTGTACAACATCAGTTCAGTGTTAACTAAAGTTGCAACATCGATATATGTAAATACAAAATACACCAAACAAAGCACAAGCTTTGATCATTAACCTTTAATTTAACCATGAAGCATCCAATGTAATTATGACAGAAACTGAAGGATGTACCTGCAGTTACCTTCAGACAGATAAACCTCTGGTACTTCCTGTTCATCACGGTGGGATCCAGCTGATAATGAGGTCATCCACAGGGCTTTATCCAGCTGATAATGAGGTCATCCACAGGGCTTTATCCAGCTTTTACATTTTTACAAACTTTATTTAGTTTTGGAAATAGAATAAACTGCATTCCACACGAAATCAGGACTATTCAACCAAAATATACATTTTTTTTGTTACTTTTAACTTTTTTTAGCCATCCTATTTGTTAAAAAAAAAAAGATGACTTTTTATAACTGTTTATTGTTGTTGCTGTTGTCCACTGTTTTCATCATTCTTTGTTAAATCAGGTCTCTCTTGTAAATGAGTCCTCGAGGCTCAATGGGATTTACTGTAGAAATAAAGCTTGAATGAAAAAAAAAATATATATATATATACACACTAAAATAAACTACTTCTTGTACTACTATTCCTACTTTGCCGTTTTTTATTTATTGCGGGTGGACTGAGAATGGAAACCCCTAAAAAGGCTACGTACATACGTAAATGTGTTTTTTTGTTCTGAACAACGCGGCTGGTAAAAATAAGAATAAACGGTCTGATGGAATTTTCCTCTTCATTGAAAGTGAAACTGTTTCATAGTCTGAGACGACAGACTACGTCCCCTCATGGATGCTTGGATGTTGTTTCCATGGCGATTTTTAAAAATATCTTTTGGTCAGCTTTCATTCAGGATCTGGACAGTGGAAACCCCCCACCCCCCTCGGCGGCGCAGACGACATTCACATAAGTCTCCTCCCCTCACCGATTCAGGTTTATTTATTTTTTTACTTTATTTCAGTTTATTTATATAACACAAAGTCACAACAGAAGTCTCAGGAAACTGAGCAGAAACGTTCACATACATAAAAAGTCGGTTAATAACGTTATTTATCTAACAAGACAGCAGATTTTTAAACGGGAGATCTGATAAATGTACATCTATCTTGGGGGGGGGTGTATGGTAGGCACCTCATTGGTCAATAGGGTAACTTCTGGTCACATGGCAAGAGTGGGGGATTATGGGTATTTACCGGTAGTAGCAAAATTGGAACCATGTCATGTTTACCTGTGGCATTCACTCTGTCACAAAGGCCCGCCCCCAAGAGGGGTGGGTTTGGGCACCTACATGAGCGCACAGGTGTGTCAACGGAAAATGTTATTCAGCGGCAGGAAACTTGGCAGCCTGTCAAAATACAATATAAAAATAAATAAACATATTTTTTAAAGTACATAAATTAACTGGTCCTGTGTACAAGCTGCAGTGTCCAAAGCGTGAGCATAAAGTAGTGGCTTATACACCGGCATTTACGGTAAATAAAACCAGGCCACCCAGTCGTTTGAGGAAAATATGCTTTTGTTTTGCTTAAAAGTATAATTTCCTGAAATTATTGGGGTGGCCAAAGAATAATCTGGCCAGCATTGGCCACCCCTCCTCCACTCAGGACCCGTCACTCTGCTCTGCCCCCCTCCGAGAACTTTGTGTGCAAGCTTATCAGAACTGCTGGCTGGAACAACATCTTCAGAAACTGTGGCTGATCTGAAAAAATGCTCATGGACAAATCTCAACACCTCAATATCAAATCCAGATGTGATCTTGTTTTAATTGAGCTGCTGGAAGAGTTTTTGATGTCTCAAATCGTGTCCTGATGGACAAGATGTGAAAGATCTTTTTTTGTAATACCACCATCTACTCTCATGTTTCTCCCCCTTAGGTGTACTGCTTGTTTGTTTTTATTCTTAAACATGACCTTACAGCGAGGGTGCAGCTATGTTTGAAATGATAACCTGATCTTTAAATCACTTCTTGGTCTGCTGCCTTCATACATCTCCTCCTACATGTCTCTGTGTGAGTGCAGCTACAGCGTGCGCTCTCAGGACATCATTACCTGCAGTGTTCCCTCAGTGAGGACTGAACTAGACAAAAGGACCTTCTCCTACTCCGCTCCTGTTTCCTGGAATATCTTGTAAAAAGACCTGAAGCTCTCGACCTTTGACCTCTCTAAGTGGCTTCAAACATCTGATAAGTTCCTGGAAAAGACAAACGCAGACATGTTCCAGTTTTTAGTTTCTACATCGCCTTAGAATCCAGCTGGGGTTTTTGCTGCTTTTTTCCTTTTGACTGTGCGTTTGGTTGCTATTTTATTTTAATTTGTTAAAAAATAATCTGTATGCCTCTTTTATGTCTTGTTGTTGTTGTTGTTGTTGTTGTTGTTGTTGTTGTTGTTGTTGTTGTTGTTGTCGTTGTCGTCGACGTCGTCGTCGTCGTCGTCGTCCACTGATGTCATCACTGTTTGATCCAGGTCTCTCTTGTAAATGAGTCCCCGGGGCTCAGTGGGATCAACGTGTAGAACTAAAGGTTGAACGTTAATGTCGTCAGTTTCTGAGGACGAACGAAGAAAAAGGCAGAAGTGTCTTTCCAGTCCAGTTTAATGTCCGCTGAAGTGAAACCACAAACCAGCAGAACCTTAACTGGTATTAAATATTGTCCTTTTTTGAAATGAATGGAGCTCCACATCCTTTGTGCTGTTTACAACCTCAGGCGCTCACGGCTCATCTGGTTTTTAGTAAATTCAGTCTGTGCTGTGTATAAATGATAAATGTGGGGCTTTAATTGAAATCGGTCAAGAACAGGGTTTGTGAAATCAGTTGCTGCTGAAACGATGTTTTGAATAAAGGAAATACAGCGGAGATCCTCGGAGCTTTGAGATCATGAGAGAAGTCCAGTTTGCTCGTTAAGCTCATCTGAGCGGGGTCTCAGGACCTGCAGATCAAAGATGGAGGAAATGCCGTTTGACAGCTTCAGATTTCCTGAGGAACTTCAAAAAGACTGGAGTGAGTAATCCAGTGGAAATGGACACGTCACCTTTAGGTGCTGCTGTGGGAGAACTGAGCGGTGCTTGTGCCACTGTCCACCATGAAGAGCGTTCTCTGACCTCAACACTTCAAACACTGAAGTTTAACAGTTTCCATTAAATTGTTGTAAAAGTCCCTAACTGATTTTTGACTTCATAGAAGAAAGTTTGAAGATTTAACCCCGTTAAGATCACTTCTTTTTTTTTTTTTTTTTTCAACGAACACCTGAAGGCAGCCTGACCTGCATGTGTTTGGGCCGTGGGAGGAAATCGCAGCACTAAACATGAGGAGAACATGCAAACTGCACAGAAACACCCTAGGGCCAAACCTGGAAGTATAAATTACAGTTCAATATGCAGCCCGTGTCTCATTGATTTATTTAAATAGCCCTCTGGAGACCAAACGTTGTAAATCACAAACAATAATACGATATAATATACAGTATATATACACATGTACAGTATACATTTACTATGAACTTACAGCAGCAGTTTAGACGAGTTGACACGTGTAAAATGTAAATCTAAACAATGCATTGATGTGAGAATCCTTTAATTGATTTAATTCATAATTAATCATCAAGTGTTTAAACTTGGGAATGTACATATCTTTCCTTTAAAGGGGAGTCCTTCTTTATTTACCTGTTTATTTTCATTCAATTCATTCAACCTTTAGACAGGTAAATCCATTGAGCCTCGAGGACTCGTTTACAAGAGGGACCTGATTTTATTTAGTTTATTTTTTGCATTGATGTTGCTTTTCCAGGTGTGAAATCTGGCTACGACAGAATGACTAATGTACCCCCATATCATCAGAGAGGCAGGCTTTTAAAATGTAGTTACTATCCGGTTGAATGGTTCCTCTTTACTACAGAGGACATACATGGTTTACAAAAATAATTACAATTTCAGAGTTCTGGACTTCATCCTCATTCCATTTGAAAAGGGTTCTGGTCCAGGGAAGACTGCAGTGGCTCTGGATGGTGTTCACATCTGTGAACAGAAC